TCAAAATTGCCTTAGTATTTTTCTTATTAACTCCTGGGAAAATAATTAGTAAATTTGTGTGAATTGTTTAAATGGTCCATCAAGATACATTTAGTTTATAGTAAAAATATTTTTTTGCATGAATACATAATAATATAAGTTCTCGGGATTAATTAGAATTAAAATATTTTCATCTATATAAGTACACACGCATTTAAATTGTTTTTAAAAGTTCACGAGCCTCATTAATTGATGCGCTGCAACTTCGATAATGCAGAAGACCTTGCCCGAAGAATATTTTTTCCAATTAAACGTACATCATTAAACATGAATAGGATATTGTGTGCATATCATAATTGAAAAGTTATGTACCACCTATGTATAATTTTAGCTTGCGTTTACACGTATCCTCTCACATACACTCTATGGCTTTTCATTTTAATTTATTATTCAGTTGTAAGTGATTATTCTCTGGATTATTTAGATTTTGAGTTTTAAGATGGAAATTTTCGTTTATAAATGGTTGCTATTGGTTATGGAGAAATAATAACTAGTAGAAATTAGTTTTTATTTGTATATTGTTCACCATTGGTTAATCGGGCAGGTCAAGAATGCACACAATCGGAGTTTTGCACAATGCCTACTTGATAATATGTTGTAGCCCAGTGTCCGCGATCCGACGAAGTGGTCGATCTGGGTGGCTGAGTTGCAGTATTTAGATTTGATAAGTATTTTTTTTTTTTTTAATGGTTTCAAAGTGATCTGACCAAACAATATAGTTTTTATTTTATTATTCTATTTACTATTGTCATACAGGCTACAGTATTATAGCTATACCTAGCTATATTATGTTATATTATATTATAGTATATAGCCTAACACAAATTAAATGTTTCATATATTTTTTATTATATTTATGTAAAATGTATTATTACTTATTTGTTAGGTAATGAAATAACAAATACAGAACAGTATGTAACCTGTACATTTATATAATGAATAAGCAAATATCACATTTTTGGAATTAAATATTAATATTATTTATGTTATTGTTATATCCATAATTCAAAAGACAAATGTTATGGATGTGCGCTTCCAATATTTCTACTAGCTGATAAAAGGCATAAGGTATCCAATAGAACTGACAGGTCAGGCTGCAGTGTATAGAACACACTTACTTTTGTCAAGGAAGAGGCAACCTCCATCGTCGACGTAACCTTTTCCAGAGAGGGGGTGGTAGAAGTCACTGCCTGGTCCGCCCTCGAGGTCACTTCACACCTGGGCTGGGTACTGGGAAATATCGATATTGAAACGTTCTACAATCACTTCAATTCATCAATTCTCAGCCATGAGACAGGGTGCTGCTCCAGCCAAAGCAGCCCCCCGTTTTGTCGGCTATATATCGGCTATATATCATCGAGGCTTGCAAACGTCTCGATTCCTCCAAGAACCCCCAGTCCTCGGGGTAAAAAGAAAATGTACGTATGGGCTGAGCTCATCTTGGATCTCAGATCAGATGGCTTCACCTCTTTCCACAAGACCTACCATGCTCCTCCTGCACAGTGAGGAGGGCTCTCTGACCATTAAGGCGCCAAATTAATCGTATCTAAGATCTTCGCCGGGAGGTTAGGAAGTCCAAGGAGCAAGGCTGGAAGAACCTATGCATTTAGGTGAGTTCTGACAATTAGGGGAAACCATACAAGCTGGTCGTGGAAAAGATTGGTAATGGGTCCACCAGGCTGGTCTACAAAGGGCACGAACACGTGAGCACTGATCATTTATTCCCTGTCACTCCGGTCACGAACTGGGACTATATGAATCCTCCAAAAGTGAGGAACATTTTCAAGACGTCTGAGCTTGTGTTCACCAGGGTAGTTTCTTAGTTTAAGGTTGCTGAACTGATGAAAGCCATCAAGAAGATGTCTTCTGGCAATATGGACAGTCCTTTGAGCATAACCAACGAGATAATGAAGAGGATCATCCCGGCTTGCCCCAGGGAAACTCTTAAAGTGTATAATGAGTGCCTCAACTCTCTTACGTACCCTACCACGTGGAAAAAAATAAAGCTGGTCCTTCTCTACTCGAGTCTGGGCAAGCCAGTGGACTCTCTTTCCAGCTTTCATCAGATCTGTTTAGTGACACCTAGGGGAGCTGAAGAGAGATTCTTTCTCCAGAGGCTAAGTCTCACCAATACGTGCAAGGCACAACTCATCGAGACCCAAATCAGTACGGTTTCCAAGAAGAATCTCTTCGGGAACAGCCGTGGTGGTAATAACCAAGCTTGCTGCCCAAGTGGCGGCTGGCAAATGGAAGCAGAAGGAACAATGCGTGCAAGTAACCCTAGTGTTATGATAAGGTAACACTCTTATAGTTATTATCACGATTACAAGTGATTACTTTTTATCAGTCAGTATTCAGTCCACATTGTTCGTGAGATGTTCACTTTTATGTTTAAGTACATTTTGTGTCATATTAAATAAATTAAGTTAAATATATTAAAATTTCAAACAGTATTTTGTTTATAATGTTCAAAATACAACACCTAGATGTTAAGAACGGCTTAAGCTCCTTCAATGGCCACTGATTGATAAAGTTCTGAGAAAAAAGGGAACACCCGAGTATCTGGCGCTTATGATTCATTCGTAGCTCGCTGACAGGGAGCTCCTATTCAGTGACCAAAGAGATCCCAAACCCGTCATATGAGGTGTTTATTATTTCTAAGTATTAGGACCAACCCTTTAGAATGTCGCGTATGAGGATCTGCTAAAGTTTATGTGTCTTCCAGGCCACATTTTGTCAGATTCACGTACGACCTGGTAATAGTCGGAGCAACACATGTTGATGCGGTCAGGCTGAACAATACAACTCTCCTCGGATCAGCATTAGAGACTTCCCAATAGCTTTCAGCAACCACTTAAGGAACCTGAATGTCATCCTTGACACCCAGTTGTAATTTCGGAAATATGTCAAGACGGTTGGGAGGAAAGCAGGGGATGGCCGTAGAACTGGCCAGGCTGATGCCGAACTTCAGTAAACCCTGCCAATGAATATAAGACTCCTACGCTAGATGCTAGAGAGCTAACTTCTCTAAGCTGCCTTGGTGGCCATCCACCGTCAACGCCTCAAGGAAGCTAGAACGAATCTCCGGACGCATCATTAAGTCTCCGCCTTGAGAGCCATCAGGAACTACAGGATAGTACATGATGAAGCCACCTTTCTTTAAGATGGAATGTCACCCGTTGATCTCATCAGGGTGGAGTGGGACAGGTTTGAGGTCAGGGCGTTCCAAGACCTTTTACCTGGCGACCCCCTCCCACCACGAAAGACAGAATCAAGAAGGAAGAGAGGAAAAACACAATTAACGAGTGGCACAGGTTGTGAATCCGCTCCACTGAGGCTCCTTGAACCCACCGCCTTATTCCTAACAACGTAAGATGGGAAAACAGGACGGTTTGGAAAGCCCAGTGGATCCATCATATGACTCAGGTGCTAACGGGTCACGGGTCCTTCCAGCACTATTTGCACCGCATAGCACACATTACCAGAATGGAATATAGGCCACAAAAGGGAGACCCAGGCGTTCGTAGAACTCGGCACACCTGGGTCGCCTTCTGTGGTCAAAGATATCCCGGACATTATGTGCGGTAATTTCTTCGAAGACCTACTGGTTGACCATTTGGCTTGTCCTCAAGGAATCATAGGGATAATGGTAATCTTAGAAGAGGGATGGTAGCGGACCTTCAACCAAAAGGTGAGAATAATTAACACCAGAAAAATAGAAGAAGGGAAAAAGCACTCGTTCCAGCATAAAGAGAACGGGACTTAAATGACGGTGAAAATGAACGCTTTAAGATAGAAAGACAAGTAGAAATAACAACACAGTTAGACAGCATTAACTAGTTTTTAGTTCATTAGTGTGTTAAGCTTTTAAAATTTTAATAATATAATTTTACATTTTTTTCTTGTAAATGAACGGTCTATCAATTCAGAGGAGGGTATTTGCGAGAGCTTTTTGGAAGAGCGCTCCCATAAACGACCTAGAAAAAAAAAATGTATTTAAAATGTGACAGTCCCCTTCCTCTGGCACAAAATTTAAAATAAAAATATTAAACAATATACAAGGCAATTCGATAAATGTTTAAATGATTAAATTAATACCCTTATTAATATATAAATATAACTCAATAGTATGGTGTGGAAGGCACGGGGGAGAAACGTCCGAATACCCGGGGATATAGACTTGCGGTGTACGGTCACCGACACTTGATATTTTCTATTTTGTTTCATTATTATCACCTGGTCTCTTATATGCTCTTAGACATTTTGTTTTCACTCCAAGACCTACTCAAGATGGTGTTATATCACAAATCGAGTGATGTTTTTTTACGAAAAACTGTAGACTTAAAATGAACTGACTTCAATAAAACATTCGAACTAAAGAAATTCTACGTTATTGTAATTTCACTTACTATCGCTCATCGTTAGGTCCCACAAACCACTGCTAGTAGATTGCCTACCTAATATACTGCTCATATATTGTTCGCGATCCGACACAGTCAGATTGCCTAATTACCTTAGTCGCACGTTATGTGTATAACACGGAAATCAAAGTTCACGGTTGATGATTGCTGATTATTTAGATACGGATCTAATATGGCTTTAGACTTAAATCTTTTTACATTCAAAAAACCATAAAACAAGCGACGGTACAAAATACCCAAATGCCAAGTCGGATATAAACTTAAACCGCTATAATGACTAATACCTAGATCCTCGATTACGAATTTCGTCTCATATCAACTTCAAAGAAAACTAGACAGCAGTAATTTTCTGAAATTATGCATCAATCGGATTTTGGCAACAAAAACACATTGAGATTTTACCCAAACTCTTTGGAAACTCCGTAGTCAAGCCAATATCAAAATATAACAACAAACACAATATCATACACACACGCACACGCGGATGCCCAGTGTTCAACCATCCCGTTTCTGCAGTTCCCCAGAGGTCTAATCGTCTGGATGTCTGATTACGAGGACGCCGACGACACCCAACAGCGGCAACCGTTGCCTTCACGTTATACGCCGGACGGAAAGAAAGACCGGTGGTCCAGGCTGTGGCTGCACCGAAGTGGTGGCTCCGATAAGGTTCACAACGACGATGACGGTGTCGATCCGGACCAAGGCGTGGAAGCCGGGCTACCGCCGCTGCCGGACAATCTGAGAGAAGAGGGAAAGCGCAGCAAGGGACGCGGACCGGGCAGCGACCACCTGCGGCAGCTGCACGACCACCGACCGAGTATAATATAAAATCGTACATAGGTGCCTATATCACGTTCATTGTATCTGGCGTGCGATGTACACGGTTATACAGAGTGGTCCACGCTAAGGCTTTTCCCCCGTTTCACCACCCCTCTCCCCGGTAAGGTGCGGATATAGTTTATCCGTGGCGTCGGCAATCCAATCCAATATAATATTACGTCAAAAATATATGCAATTTGAAATAGAAAAACAATTTCTTTTATATAAGTTCATTATTTGAACTCAGTCTTCAACTTGACAAACATACCTTAATATTATTATTGGTTATTATTAGCTTTTGAGCGTTGAAAATGAAATCGTCTATAATATCACCGGGCTGGATTCTGCAGAATTGCCGCGGGATATGCTTTCTGTCGTTACGATCCGAGTTGTTCGTTTAGGTCTCTCGCATAGATGATGATGTTTATATCATGTTTATATCACATCATAATATTACGATATTATTATGAACTATATTATCGCAAACGTTAGCCTCAAGCGTTTTAGGGCTACTTAGGTCCACGCTGGTGTACATCTGCAGGCTGGTATGGGTAAAATGTACGCACGATGACTGACACATAGAACGCCCTGTATGTGGGACGAAACACAATAATAATAATAAATGCTTGATATATCGTACCAGAGGTGTATTCTTAAACAATATCGTAATATATAATATTATTATACGGCCCATAAACCCCGAGCGCGTGCCGGTGACGATTATTGTGTCGCGCCTCCCGCGAAACATCGGGCCAAGGTGCAAAACGCCTAGCAGTATAATAATATAAGGTGTCATGGGCCACTTCCCATAATGTGTATATATATATATATAATACACATAATAGGTTTTATGCATTGTAACTGCCTAGCGCGCGCCAAGAGGGCTGGCAATGGTTTCGAGCCCGTCGCGTATAATATAATATATATTATACGGTGATAGTAACAATATATTATATATTTTATTTTTCTAATATATTATTGTACCACCCCCTCACGTCACAGAAAAGGATCGCTATCCTCTGTCATCCGTTGATATTGTTCTGCTGCAGATACCGTGTATAAGTCCAACAGTTTTGTTTTTTTTGTGAAATATATTATACATTGGTATAATAAAAATAATTATAATAATATGTAACATACTTACATACCTATGTATTATATTATACATTGTTAGACTGTTGTTTTTTATTATTGTGAGTTTCTACAAGTCTGCATTCCTTGGTGATTTTTAGTTTTTTCGACCTCGTGATGACTATACAAGATCTCCTAATCGTATATATTTCAATAAATTGTGAGTACATTACCAAGATAAATGTTTGAAATGTCAAATCGCGAGAGTGTACAGACAAATGAATAACAGTAATATTATAATATACATTAAATATTACACCATACGATTCTAAACTTTAGTTTTGTACGCAATGCAAAATGCAAATGTACATTACGAGCGATTTAAAATGTGTGTAGCCACGAATATACGTTCAAATACTCAACAAATATTTACCTCCTAACTAAGCAGATAAAGTACGTATTATATTTACGTATTTTTTTCTAAGGAACTATTATAAACGACCAAATATTAAGATTTAACGACCATATTTCTCTTAACCATTCTTCCTCCCCAGACTCATTAAAAATGCCAAAAAAACTAGATTGTCTTGATGTATACGATTGTCTTATATTTGTTTTATAAAAATAAATGTTTTTTTGCGCGTTTCGTATTTTGTTTGAGATACAATCGGTCTAGATTCTAGAATATGACCTGCCCTCTGCAGAACGTGCATAAAACAAAATAATCGGATAACTTTTTATCACTACTGGTGGTTCAAACAGTGTCAGTGACTTAACGTTAAAAAAGCTGTAGTCGAGCAAATATAATGTACTATAGCAAAGCAACTGGTTAGCAGCAACTGTTTTTTTACTATTATATTATTTTGGAAAATATATTACAGGGACAATTATTGTTTGATAAATAAAGAACAAACATCTTTTTGAATTTTTGACCATTAAATAATTATCATAATTTAATAAAGAAAATTATATCGTACATTAGCCGTACAAAGTTTTTTACGCTTATCCCTTTCCACCTCTGAGAACGACACTGATTATAATACATATTTTATTTAAGTACCATTTTTTGGTTGGTCTCCTCACTCCCACAATTTATAAAAATTACCACTTAGGCGCCCATGGCTGCACACACACACACTCATATGTATATAAATATGTATGATTTTATTGGTTCATGAAGTTTATGTTCTACCTAATAATATTAAACGAATTAATAATTACGATGAATAAGCATTTTAACGAATACTGATAAAGTTTAATGCGTATGATGATTAATGAATAATATGTATTAATAAAGTTGATAATCGTCATAAATAGAGACCAGATTTTTATGTTTTTACATATTTTTACTGAGAGTAGCAGCTCCAATTGCAAAAAGCTTTCTCTACGGTTCATTTACCTATGAACTGATATAGGTACAAACATTTTTCGTACGTAAAAAAGAATATATCAGTGTTAAAGAATATTTTGTGCAAAAAAAAATGTTTTAGGAATATTTTTGCCATATCGGAGTTCAATTTGAATTTTTTATAAAAAAAATCTAATGGCTTATAAAAAATGCAAATATATTTTCATTATATCATATTTAAGATGTCCAAATAACTCAAACCAATATTGATAACAACATAACAGTGATAAGAAATTATTCTCTAGATCTCCATTATACTTATAGACGGGTCATGGTGGTAGTTCCTGCGTTCGACGTGGGTAGAACTTATCGTGTTTCTGTTATTTACTAATATACAACACGTTTTAGTTTTTATTATTTAACACGTTATTATTATTGTTTTTTTAATTCACAAATCTAAATTTTAGGTAAGTAAGTATCTATGTGCTACAATCACACATCTAAAATATAATTAAAAAATATAGGTACACCGTACACCAGTATATCACCATATTATTGAATAAATATAACGGTTTGAATAATTTTTAAAATATTAGGATTAATTTAACTACCTTATGATTTTTATAAACTGATACTTTTACTAATTTTTTCAGTATTCAATAAATTTTTATGAAAAAGAATATTTTTTATAATATGCAATAATTTATATTAAGTGTAAAAGATTATTTTGATGAAATCATAGACCATAGAAACATCTTATTTTTAAGATTATAAGCGCATATAAATCCGGTCTCTATTGAGAAAGCTGTACTTTATATTTTCACTTAAATATGAATTTGTTTATATAAAAATAGATCAGAATAATAATATAAACACGCATTACGTTATAGACGATTAGGAGGTCCTCGTACTTCACTTTAAGTTGTAGTAAACAACGCCATACATTATTGAAAACAAAATAAATTCAAAAAACCAATATTGTTATTTTGCGTACCTACAATAATGTAACTATATAATATTTAGGTATACCTATATTCGTTATTATATTGTTTTTATAAGGAAGAGAACGCTGGTCCATAATACAATATATTGAAAGTTGTGAAAAAAATTGCTTACTAACAATTTACAATATTATTATAAAAACTATCTTTATTAGTACCGCTATTCCGATGAATTGATAAATTACCAAGACCGATTTCAATGTTTTTTCTATCTGAATATGGTTATAGCGTTATATGACGGACAGATAGTTGGCAGATTTACTCTGATAACATTATGTTTATACAGTTTATATTTTTTTAGTCTTGTGTCCAGCGGCGTAGCAAACTTTAAATCATATGGAAGCGAACAAATTATTTATGACCTACCCCACCCTACTCCAACTGATGTATACGTACTCATAATATGCTCAAATAGGGGGTTAGGGTAACACCTAAAATAAATGTATGGGCCGTGTATTGGGCTTTATGAGGTTATGGCCCACCAACACCCCCCCCCCCAGAAATCAGAAGCAATTGCTTCTGAAAAACATAATTCTCTACGCCACTGATTGTGTCGATCTTACACGATGCACACAATATATATTATAGTTATCTAATTTGAATTGCATTTAAAGTTACATAATTTTAATAAACTACCTATACATCGCCCGCCTCAGCAAAAAAAGTCGTATCTCTGTTTTCACAAATTCATTTTTTTTTTTCTAGTTGTCATATCTGTTTTTGTGTATAGTTCCCTCGGAGACGGTAGTAACTGCATTTTATTGTATAGGACGTCTTTGATTGTTTTATCCTACTATCATATTCCCGGGAACTACACAAAAAAGTTATGAGAACTTGAAAAAAAAAAAAAATTTGTGAAAACAGAGATACGACCTTCTTCGCTGCGACGTGCGACATATTCAAGTTCATATACGTCCGTACGGTAGGTACATTATAAATGTCTAATTAGAGTCGTAGGTGTGTTCGGTATTTTAAAAAAAAATACTCGTTATGAATATGACGAAAATGTTTAAACCGCTGACTGTCGTAATTACCGTCAGTATTTAATGCTGGTTATTCATACCACACATATAGGTGAAAAATTCAGTGAAATCGTCGCTGTCCGTGATCTGGAACACATAATTTATTTACACGATAAATTAACGCCAGTTGTCTCTCTCCAACAAGTAGAGCATTAATATTATATTATATAGGCACACGCATTACGCACTAAACGTATATTATGGACTAACGCTCAAATTTAGACCGTCCAACTAATTTATACATTACTGGCACAATACAATGCATTACAATATTATAATATGGCGGCTGCTTCATATCTGATAATTTACCATACATATAATAATTATTATTCAGTATTTTGAAATATCGGGTCTAGACGTTATGGGTATATACCTCCATACAATATAATATTACATACGTCATAATATAATACCTACCTATACATATTATGTAGGTACTGAGGTGCGTATGGGAAAATGCATTTTTCTTTATTTTTTCTTCGTTTCCCGACGATTTATCACACGATTATCTCCCGTTAAGACCAATGCAATGTGTATATCATGATATATAAATATCATAATATAATC